ATATTATCATTCAAATAATTGCATGTGGAAACAAACTTAGTTAAGTGCAAAAAGCACAAAAAGCCAAAAATAGGTAAATAGGCAATAAACATGAAATAGGCAACAGAAAAAAAAAACTATGTAAATCTAGAATCATGCAAATAGTAGAATGAGCAAATGCATTAGAATCCGGGTCCTTGTAATGGCACTATCTAGGATTTTCTGCGCCCAATTTTATCACTAAAATTTTTGTCATTTAATTTTTTTAATATTCTATCTGTTTGCTGTCAGATAAATGGAGTGTAATTTAGGACGATATGATAATTCAATAACTAAATGTACTCTGTATGCAAATTAGGCATATTACTTTTGTTCTAAAACACTGCCGGCCACACGAATCCAAAAAAATCTGCATAAAAGTGTGTGCCAAGCACGGGAGAAGCGAGAGCATAACTTCGTGCACACACACCGTTAGCGTTGGTGTCAAAACACTAGCGAAAAACTGCACAATGTGCACGTTTTGGTCGGCATTGTTCTAAAAATAAATATAGCTATGAGCTGTGAGTCCACCCATTGCATGTTTTGAGGTTTTTAGGAGTCCTATAATAGTTAATAATCCCTAATAGTTAATAATTGAAAATTGTTATATGTATAAACAATTGGATATTATTATTGAAAGTCTCCTGAAGAGAAACAATGATTTGCGTTCGAAAAATATTGATGTTCAAGAATTCTATACCATTTCTACGGAAACTGGTTTTTCCCATATAAAATACTTGGAAAGCTTTGAGTGACCTCTGAATGTTTTTTGATTTAAAAAAAAAAACAAGTGTATATTTTTTCGATATAGAACAACCCTAGGGAGTGACAGCATTAGACTTTACTTTTTTTTGGACCACCCTGTTGTACATACATACATTACACATGTATGTATTTTTTCCAGTAGAATCTTTTTTCTCGGAGTTCCCTGCGGGAACTTTTTGTCCAAAATGTTTACAAAAACGTTATTTTTTGTTGGCTTTTCGTCATTCTCTCTTCAAAGTTAAATACTTTTCTAAAAAGATTCTTGCATTCGGAAAATTTCATAATTTTTCGTCTCATTCTGTTAGAACTTTGACGCACTTACCTTTCAGTGTAATGCCGCGAAAGAAGAATATAATGAGCACCACATATGGAAATATTGCGGTCATATAGACAATTTTACCAGACGACGTAATGCCCTGCACCATACAAATGTAAACAAGAAACCATGAAACAATCAATGATATAGCCATGTGATAATTAAAGTTTTCCGGCTCATTGACGCTTTCGGAGCATTGAAGTGTGGTGCGGTACCAGTAAAATTGTGTGGGCGAAGAGGCCTACAAGCGATGAAAAAATTATCAAAAAACATATCTATGTACATATATGTAAGTAAGTATGTATGTATGTACATTTATACAGTTTTCTGGGGGTATGTATGTATGTAGATAGTTATATGTTAAAATATATGTTCGTAAGTAGGTAGATATGAACTTAACTGAAATCTAAAGTACTTATACAAACTTAAGGTGTAATTGAATTTTGAAGAGGCCTTTGCTTAGTACAATAATTTAAGAGTATTCCTTATTTGCAGTTTAAAGTCTCATTTGGTAGTTTTGTGTGTTTTTTTTTCGGAGCTAACGAATTTGTGAAATTGTAAAATGGTAAAGTATCACAGCAAAAGTTGTGATAGGGCTGTTTCCAAAGTTACGGACGTTCCGTTTGGAGACACTTTTTTCATCGTAAAAACTATAGTAGACTCTGAATGAACACAAATGTTTTTTGTCATGAGTAGTCATCATCAATACCTGTCTGAAACCAATAAAAATATTTTCCACAAATGTTATATGGTAAGTGCATAGCGATTAAAAGAACCCGTCGGACTTTCCCAAAATGGAACTCGTATCGAAGATGACTGATGATTCTTGCGAAATTCTGCGAATCTGTTAACGGTACAAAAAAATAATGTATGAATGGTTGTTAGAATAATAAGCAGCCATAACCATTGCGTCAACTTAAACTTCTCAACGATGTTTAATAGCTGTCAAAAACTGTACAAAGTTGTTTATTCATGCAATTTTTTTATGCTAAGTTGTTGAAAAATAATAAATATCTATATCCCGGGACTGATCGCGGTATCCCGGGATTGAACCAACGACATCACCAAAATCCCGGGATCGTAAAAATCTTAAAAATTAACATACCTAGTCCGAACGCTTGAAAAAAAGCACAATGTGTTGTTTAACTTTAGACGGTTCCTAATATATTTTTACGTTATTTTTGTTGTAATACCTACGGAACATAAGCTGTACTAAATTTTTGTATAGAGTTCAAATTCTTTTTGATCGTGTCCCAAAATTAAAAAAAAAAATTTAAGTGTATTTGGAAATACGTAAATAGCTGGAAATGGAATAGAACAATTAGTCCAATATTTTGGTGGATGAAAGACAAAATATGTAGTTATCGATTGGCATCTATAAACATTGTCCAAGCAAAATGTTATTCTTTTGCTCTTGGTTGACACTTTCCAGGAAATACCCATATGTAGCAATGTTTTGTATTGGGAATGCACAACAAAGTTAGCGAGCACAAGCGCGTCCCGGTATATAATTTAAGTAGGCCGTCTTAAGTGCCTTCTATAAGGGCCTTTTCTATTTACAATTTACGTGAATGTGTAATTTTATAATATACTAGCAGACCCGGCGAACTTCGTCCCGCCTGTCGGAAAAATCAATCAACACTAACGCATTAATTTTTTGTATTGAAACATTTCGGTCCAACGTTCTCGCCAGCAATTCACGTTCACGTTTGGTTTTGTGGTCGACAGAAGGCATATCCTCTATTGCCGTCTTAAATAACCTGACGAAAACGTTATACCGAGAAGAAGTCCTTGCGGCTCGATGGTGAATCATCCTTGAATCTATATAGTATAGTTGGTGGCAATTTCCAAACTGGTGAGTATCATTGGTCCATATTCTGTTTAGTCGCCGTAAAGCAAGCACCGCCAATGGTTCTGATGGTTGATTTAACGGGGGTAATTTAACTTTGATCCCTGGTGCCTCCAAATTGACGATTTTTGGCAATAACTCGGCCTTTTACATACTGACACTCTTCGGCATTTTTTCCCATACAAAAAAAACTATTACGCATTCGTTATACGGAGAAAATGCGCAACATCATCGGCGAAAAAGTTCTCAAGAATCAACGCGAACTTATAGCTATTTAAAACTTGCAGTTTATGATACTGAAATTGTTCTTTTCCAGTAGCCCCAAAATCTCTATGCTAATTTCTAGGAAACTACCACAAATACTTCCAGAGTTATACGGTATGAAAAATTCGATATGTATGGGTGATGCCACGCTCCCTTAATATATCTAAAGTCTGCAGTAGTTAGGTGACCAAAATTTCCAAAAAAAAAATTGGTACAGGAAAATTATGCAATAGCAACAAGTGTGTAAAAATCAGTGCTAGCTGTTCAATAAACGACTATAGGTGACCTTAGGGTCAAAGTGCAGGAATGGTATTGTCAGGGATTGGAGTCAGAAGTCCAAGCCTTAATTTAAGCCTAAGTGTAAGGTTCTATCATCTTTTGCTTAATTGCTAAAGCTATATATAAATGACTATAAGTAACCATCAAACAAAGGGGCAGGAATTTGCAGGGATAGTAGTCGAGATTTTTAGCTTTAATCTAAGCCGAAGTGGGCGGTTCTACCACCCTTTGTTTCTTGCTAGAGCTTCTAAAATATTGCAAAAAATGCGATCTTGTGCTGATGGAAACTCTATGCTTACGGATTCATAAACAGCACAAAAAAGTTTGTCACAAATATTGTCAACATTTGCTGCATCAACTTTTTTTTCAATTTTTGTTGGCTTGTGTAATAAGTATTTTTAATGAGCCAATACCCGCATGTTTGCGGCACCTTGAAACACCTTTAGGACTGTGAAACCATGACTCAATTCTATACTACGCATTAATATAATACGGGTATCACATTTCAAGCAAATCAGACCATACGGGTTTTTTTGGAATAGATCGGCCCCTGGTCCACCTATCAGAAAAAAGTATACTATATGTTAATCCTAGCAATAAGCTACCTATGTGCCAAATTTCAAGCAAATCGGACCATAAATAAGACTTTTTCGAATAGATCGGTCCCTTGGCCCCTTAACGTAAAAAATGGATCCTATATGCTAATCTAGGCAAAAGGCTACCTACGTACCAAATGCATTTTTTTTTAGCGTAGCTCGACCCTTGCGCCATCTATCGGAAAAAATTTACCTTTGTGCACTCCTCCTTCTAAACGCCTTTCCAAAAATGCAGCAACCATTCGAATCGGTTATGAAACATAGGAGAAAATTGTTCCCAATTGATTCATGCTCGCAATGAATTTCACAATTATCCGAAGTGAATTGGTCGCCAAGATTGTGTGATTTAATCCCGCTAGACTTTTTCTTGTGGGGTTTCCTAAAGACGCAGGTCTACTAGGTTTGGCACACAGCTTCTTTTACATATTCAACATCTACCCGCCTGTATTGCAAAAACACTCTAAAAATGTATCTTAGAGGTACAGAGCCAAGGCGCATTATCAAAAAAGCTTCACAAAGCGTATCCATCAAGCATTTTTTGCACTTTTCTGGACATAGCTTCCGTTGCACACGTTCGTGGGAGGCGAATGTAAAAACATCTAGTAATGGAATCAATAACCGGATGAAATGCCTGATTTTCCACTGCAATGCTGCTGTGTAAATAAAATCAGCAAATTTTTCCAAAGAAACTCGACATACAGAAGTTTAAGGTGTTGGACAAATGCTTCTTTATATCTATGGTTTCGTTATATTTATAGAATATCGAAACCTCGATAGAACGAAAAATCAAAAAAAAAAATCGTTATAAGTAAATACATATGTATGTATGTATTAGCGTGGTCCGAAAATCCGCTTTTTTTAAATTTTGATTGGTTATAGCAAAAATATGGTTCATTATGCTCTAAATACAATCTGTGTACTATACTTAGTACATACATACATATGTAGGTACATATATCAAAAAGCTATCGCTCCGAAATTTTTAAGTACTTCAGCACTTTTTGGTAAATATTTAGGCCTAGAAGCTCTTTGGCGATAAATCCATTTTATGCCGAATTAAAAAAATTGCTTAAAACGAAAAATAAGATGGTGGAAACCGGTTTGAAAAATTAAATAAATTTAATCCACCCTTTGGGTATGTCCCTAATCAATTCCTTTAATAAATTTCCATATGAGCAACATCTTGTCTACTCGTTAGCCTTACAATACGCAGTGTAATGCAACATGGCACAAATACATACATACCTACATATGTAAGTATATTTGTATGCATTTTTTTTTTTTTTTCATAAATATACTCACAACTCTTCCAGCCATTTTTTATTGGTGCTCGAATGAAAGATGTTCAATATATTCGCTCATGCAGTGTAAGTGTGTTTATGACATTGCATGGTGTGGCAAATGTTGTAATGCGCATGTAGTATTATTTAGCAGGTATGGAGTATAAAGTAGATTTATTTCTTACCACACATTCCGGCACATGGTCATAAGTATAATTGGCATAGAGGCGTGTGGGGCAATCGGCCCACGGCAAAGGTGACTCAAAACTATGCAACAAGTATATGAGGCACCAGGCAATTATGGTATTATAATACAAAGCCACTATATAGCTGACAACTGCGGATGAAATGCCAATGCCGCCTAAATAGGGCGAAACCTGTATGAGAATGGGTTAAAATATTTAATTATTAAATATATGTATGTATGCTACCCCTTATTGTTATTTTTCTTAGTTACCTGACTCCACACACCAATCGCACCTTTGCGCAGTCGTTGGCCTACAGCCAATTCTAGATAGAATATCGGCAATCCCTGTATGCACAACATTATGAAATAGGGCACAAGAAAGGCACCACCGCCATTTTTTTGCGCCAAATAGGGAAAACGCCAGACATTACCCAAGCCAACGGCATAGCTTAAAGATGGAAAGAGTATAATTTTTTATTTACATATAGTCAAAAAATTTATTTTTATTTTTAGCATAGTAATTAATTAATTAATCACCTCAAGATTAAACATACAAGTACATATATCGCACTGTAACACCCTTGTCATAGCATTTCACTTACCCTATAGTAGCTAGCAGAAACATGATTTTATTGTCCCAACTTTCGCGCTCATCACCCTCCTTTCCGCCCTCGACAATGTCCTCTTCTGCTGCTTCAACTGTGGCCGAAACTGCCGCAGCCAATTCAGCTTTTGATTTACTGGTACTCGCCTCTGCACCAAAACCGTCCGGTTCCAATTCGGTCGATTCATCAAAAGCATCACCCAGAAATGCTTGATTGGTTGCACCATACATAGGAGGCTGATGATGGTGGGGGTGATGATGATGTGTCCCACTGCCATGGTGTTCTTTGGGTACAAGACGACCACGCATTTCCTTTAAAGAAAAAGAATTTGCAAAACAAAAAATCGGATGAAAGGTAGTCACATAAATGTTTTTTGGCACGAATCAAATGAAAAAGTTTATTTTAAAATGATGGCGCTGTTTTTTTCATGATGCTACATACTTGTGTATGTATTTAAGTATTAAAAAAAAGTTAATGTTTATTGATTTTAATTATTTAGAATATTTCATCCTTTTTTCTACGCTTTAGCTACCTACCCGTAATTCCAGTTGGTCAATGCTCTTCTGACTCTTCAGCACTATGTCGCGCGAGCTTTGCCGTCGCAAAAGTTGTGCAGTGTTCGCCATAGTGGTTTTATTTTTTTTATTTTTATTTATTTATATGGTCGTTTAGTTAGTTTTACTTTAATTTTTATTATTATTTACTAGCATATGTGGTTGTTTTATTTTCCCAGTGGGTTTGTTGCATTTATTAAATTTCAGCAATAGTTTAGTTATTCGATTTATTTAATTAATTATCGGAAGTAGATTTCTTTGCTTGGTGTATCTTATTTAACACTTAAACACTTTCGTACATAAGTAAAGGTGTAACTGCGCTTTCTTTACTGCCTGCAGTGTTGTTCTTCTTAAAATGGGAAATCAACGAAGTGTTATGTTTTTAGTAGTGCTTTGCAAATACATATATTTTGATATGCTCGGACATGCGTTTCATTTTTTACAGACTATTAAATATGTGGTTAAAAAAGAGTTTAAAAGAAATTTTGAAACAGTGCTAAAACTAACAAGGATGTTGATTTTTATTTACAAAAAAAAAGAAATAAAATAAAAGTACGTAGAAATTGAAGCCTTCGAAATTCCCTTAAAAATTAGCAAGGTGTATTTTTTTTAGTGTTTAGTTTTCAAAATTATTGTACATATTCAAGACCAGGCTAATTTTAAAGAGATATCCTTATGATATAATAAGGATATTTTTATTAATTTTACATAATGTTTTTGTACGAGATAGCGGTGCCTGAGTGAAAGATCTACCTATCTCTGCAGTCAATTCGAAAACACCCTATCTTACATTTTGACTTAAGAACGTTTTATTTTTTAGCTTTGTCCCTGAAATTTCCAAACCCATTTATAGAAGATTCTCCGATTCTAAAAAAATTTTAGGAAAAAATGTTGTTAACGAAGGGTTATTCAGCCGAAATCAGCAATAAAATCTGTTAACTTTAGTTCTAAAACTGCCACGCCCATTTCTAGGGGTTTGACGCCTTAAGAAAAAATTTTCCCGAACAAAGTTTTACTGGATGGGTATTTGCAATAAAATTTACATTTTTGCAAAAATCGCGATTTTTTACACATTGCACCTTATAATTTACAAAATCCTAATTGAAGCACCTTGAGCAAATTTAACAAAAGTCAAGTAGAAAACGAAGCACACGGCCAACAAATATGATATCATTCTCAGACGTTACATCTCATAAAAATTTTCCAAAAAGGTAGCAAAAGAAGCGAAAGTCTTAAGGTTATGGCCCAGTGTAGGATTGTTTCGTTTGGCTCTGTTAAAAATTATTTGAAATATACAAAAACGTACAAAGGTTGGTGAAATCCAGTGTTGCCAGTTTTTATTTAAAAAAAAAAACTTTAAATTCCCAAAACAAAAAACTGTATTTATAACAAAAAACTGTAACCTTCAAAAACGAAGGGATTTTTCGAATGTTAAAAATTTTTTGATCCCATCTTTTATTCATCTCCATCGCTTCTTTTTCTCTTAAAAATTTTCTTCCAAAAACCCAAAGGTGATACATATTTTAATTTATTCTTTCAAATCAGGAATTTTGACCAAACTGTAATTTGTACTAGGAGATAATTTGAGAAAACTGTACGCTTGTCTAAAGAATTGTGATTTACAGTTAAAACTGTGAATATGGCAGCATTTGCCGCAAATGGCAGCTTTGCTTCACTTGCTTTAAGCGCCTTTTCAAACAGGTAAATCGTCGGCTTTGGGTGGAAAGGCGCTAAATCTAATTTTTCAAATATTCAAAAAGAGACAAAAAGTGGTATACAAATATAACCAAAAATTAATAGGGTTGCTTTTTTATGTATTTTTTTTTTTTTTTTTAATTTGGTTTACCACCCAATCCTCTGTTTTCTTAATAAATTATTTGTGAAGAAATTTTATCAAGATTTTTATCAAGTAAAAGCTCCCATCGTATTCTGTGTCAATATTTATAAAATAAAAAGCTCTACGATTTCTACATGAGTGGAACTGATTACATTTTCACATATGAAAAATATGAAGCAAAAAAGCGTTTGCCTGCCGTAGCCGAGTAGGTAGAGATGTCGACTATAATTCTGTGTGTCGCGGGTTCAAATGCCGGCACATGGAGTATTTAAATTAAATAAACAATTTTTTTAATATACAAAATGTATACGTTTCACGTGAAATTTCAATTTGTCAATAGCATTTTCAATCTTGATGATTTATCAAGAAAGGAGCGTTTGATTTCTGTGCTGGAATTCCAATTCATGGTAAAGTTGACAAATTATAAAAAAAAAATAATAATTTATCATGTGCCCAGAATCGGGCTGAAAATTTATGATTCCCGTATGAAATTTCAATTCGTAAACGCTTGTCAATACCATTTTCAATCTTGTTATTTTATCAAGAAAAGCGCAATTGATTTTTGTGTTGGAATCCTAATTCTTGATAAAACATAAAAAAATTACAAATTATGAAAAATTTTTAATTTATCAAGTGCACAGAATCGGGATGTTAGTGTAATGAAAAGTTTACGAAAATAAAAAATTTTTTCCGCTGACTTAGTATACGTATTTATTTTTGTGGCCGGCGCTGAACTTAGCACCCGTTCTCAGAGCAAAACTTTTTCTACATATATATAAAATTTTAATTTGTTACTTTCAATGCTTATATGGAGCATTAACTTTATTTTAAAAGAATATTCACTTCTGCCAAGTACAATCACGGCGACCTATGTATTGTAGTTACTGATGTTCAGATCGTACTTAAATTACACTGTATTGAAGCTAAAATTACACACAAAACGCCGATACCCTAAACATAATTTGAAATCGTAGATTACGGATCTGTACACCGTTTTTCTAGATCAGATCGTTTTCCCAAGATATTTGCATTATAAAAAATTGTACGATAATGTACGAGTACGGCCATGTACGATATGGCGTATGAGTAATATTATTTCCTGCTTCTATTTCATGCTAAAAATTATTACACATTTTCATTTGACCATTCAAAAGTAGTTTATTTATCCAACGATTTTCAGCGTTAGTAGCTTAATTTTTTGGCAACAGAACAGGCTTTAACACAAATAAAAAAATACAAAAAAGGAGTTATTTTTTTAATTTTTTCCTCGTTAAAATATGAACTTTTTTCAGAAAAATTAAAATATCTTTGGAAAATGTCCTGATATGGACAAACGGTAGACAGATCCATAATCTACTACCCAAAGTTTATTTTACGTATCTCGGCGTTTTTTGTGTCATTTCAAGATTTCAGATTTTCCCTACAGTGTTATGTAGTGAAGACTTTTCCACCCTATTGAAAGGTAGCAACACTGAAAGTTGTGGAGAACGTGAACCCGAGCACCAGCCGATGAGGAAGGAAGCAATGTCGTCGCTGAAAAACAACAAAGCTTTTGTTATGCAGAATATGGTCAAATGAACGAGTAGAATTTGAGTGTGCTTGGCCTAATCCACAAGAATCTGCCAACTACCGCGAGATCAGCCTTCTAAACATTGGTTCCAAGGTCTTACCGAGCATATTATGTGAAAGACTAATGATAATTGCTGGCGTATGTCGACGACATTGACATCAATGTTTTTTCGCCTAATCGGAACTAAGTATATAGAGAGGCCTGGAGGTGAATGGCCACAAAACGAAATCCTGGCAGAAGCGTACCACGACATCATCAGGTGGCCCTTGAAGTGTACTTGGGAAAAATACTTCGGAAGATATGTGGTCCTTTATGCATTTATGGCGGCGAGTACCGGACGACAATGGAACCATGAGCTGTATGTACCAAAATAAAGCGACAAGCGCTGGCTAGGCTGGTGACAAAAGAAAATCAAGACATCTTCTTGAAGAACTTGACTTCACTTGGAATTTCGATTGGCATGATATGTTGAACTCAGCCAAAACGGTTAATACGCCAATCTAAAAGAAAAAGAAGATTGTATGTAGTCAACGAGCCAAGTGCTGCACGAAAACCATCATCAGTGAATAAAAATGGACACGCATACACACATTACTCATACGCCCTGTCGAGCGTGAGTATTGAACTTTTACTAAAGAAACCGCTATCATCTAATAATGAAACTAATATCCTAAAATTTTCCAATGCGGTATGATCTTATTGAAATTGAGCGCTTATTGTATTTTTGTATTGTATCTTTGAAAAAATTATCCATACACTGAGCAAATTGCTACATACATATTAAAGTATTTATAGAAAATTTCCTTAATACCACAGGGCGTACGAAATAAGTATGTATGTTGTGGTCAAATTAAGGGCATACTAACTATTACAAAACTAATACACATACTTGTGTATATTAGACTCATATACATACATACGTATGTATGTACATACGGTGTACCTCTGAAATAAGTCTCACAACTAGGCATTAATCACTCAGCAAACCTTTGCACATTATACTCTTAATTCCATTTTTATACGCACAGAAACACATACATATGTACACAAGCACATATCTGGAAGAGCTTCTTCTAATAAATATAAAATATTTACGTTAAGGAACCGGAACTGCGGGATAATAAATGTATGTATGTATACATGTACACTAGGGTATCTGATATCAGGGTTGGGCACGCTGCACTAAATTTTCAAGGCACTGAGCATTTCATTACCACTATTCGTGTAGTGGTAGTGAAATGGGAAATGCATTACCACGAAATGCATAGTGGCAGTGAAAACAATTTTTGAAATGAACTACCACTAACCATACAGTGATAGTGAAATTTGAAATGCATTACCACTTGGTGCATAGTGGTAGTGAAAAAAATATTTCACTATCACTATGTGGTTAGTGGTAGTGCAAAATTTTTGTTCACTACCACTATGCACTTTAGTGGTAATGCATTGCAAATTTCACTACCACTATATGGTTGGTGGTTATACACAAAAACAGATTTTCCGGTTAGAAAATGTCTCAAAATGTAGACGTGTACACAATTTGGAAAGAGCTTGTGAACACCCCATTGTGTATTTTTTGAGCTAAACATAAATGTTTGGTTTTGGTATATTCTTATCCGATGACAACTGGAATAAAATTATAGTTTAAAAAACTAAAACCTCCCTATTATAATTGCCATTCGTACTGTCATCAGGTATGTAACTTGAGAATAGAAATCGCCGCATCTTTTAGGCGCATCAATATTACATAGTTACATCCCGAGCTAATAAAACGAAGGTAATAAAAAAAATAAGAACCATCCCAAAGAACATACATACAAATGGATATCGATGCAACTAGCATATAAAAGTCCCAAGCATGTACATATTTGGATACATCATTGCCCATTAAATGAATGATTAGCTCATGCGTGTGTACTATGTATGTATGTACGCACGTATGTATGTACGTACGTATGTATGTACATTAGTATGGTCCTTAAAGCAAATTTTTACATCAGATTTGCAAAGCCTCAACCCCTAAGTCGATGCTACTATAGCCGTAGATATGACATACAAATTTTGGTGCTGATTGGATCAAAGTTCAGATTACCCTATGAAGACATCTTAGCCGACTCTAATTGGGACCAAAATTTATATGTGATATCCTTGACTTTCGAAGTATAGATTTTGGGTGTTAAATGAAAAAATAAATAAAAAATTCAATTTTTGATTCCATAGAGGCATCTGGCTTAACCGACTCCAATCGACCGTGCTATTACCGATTGAGGGGGTAAGACTAAAAAGAATCGTTCATTTGATTTTTTAAGGACCACCCTAACGAACACGTTCTTCTTAAGTACACTACAACAACATTTTTAGTTTTTGATATTTGGAAATAAAAATATTTACAGACCATAAACTTACCCTCCATTAAAAGCTGTGGCAAAACTTTGTTATAAGTTATTTTAAAAAAAATTTTATTTTCTGACAAAGAGGGAACTTTGAGATTTTTATCTCTTTTGAAGAAGGTGTGCGATATGTATTTACATAGTATGTATAGTAGTATAATATGTATGTATGAATGTATGTATGTATAGTATCAGACATATGTATCAGAAAATGCCACAAAACATAATTTTGGTAGAATTTAAACGAAATTTATTTAAAAACTAATGCAATTAAGTGCCCCGCTCTTTTAAAATTTTCACGCTTACTCGAATTTCATGCTCAACTTTAACACTACTCCAATGCTTCCGATTCCGGTATGTTCGCTTTCTTTTCACTTTCGCTTTCACTTCACAGTTCTTCTTTGATCAAACTTTTACATGTTGTACATTGAGTGCTTATATAACTAACACCAAATACTTTTTGGACACCAATTAGCCAACGACGAAATGAACAAAAGGACCGACCGTACGGATAAAATTACCAAAAATTTTTGACGACGACAAAGCGACCATTTACGAAAATTACCGACCAAAACGGAAAACGCTGCGCTGCTTTGGTATTTTGTGGACGTAAAGCCTTTTTTATTTTGTTAAATGATTGTGGATACCGCCTCTAAATTCGACACGCCGACTTGACTGCTGAAGCCAATTGGGTGAGTGGCGTTGCGCGCTTTTTGTTCACAAAAAATTGAGAGAAAACGCTGTGTGTACTTCACAATGTATGTACGAGTATGTATGACGCGCAAGCAGGATATGGGTATGGGGGGCGTACTATGTAGTGACTATACACTTTTCTAATCGCGCAAAGTTTATGTACGCCCAGAACGTTGATATTGGCTTTGCGCGTTTCCAGCTTACGGTCATGAGCGTTGCTTTAATGGTAAATTCTATCCAAGAATATAGCAAAGCAATTGATTTTCAACGCACAAAAGGACACAGCCAAGCAACACACGATAGCGATAGGCACCCACATACATACATACATGTGTATGTATGTATGTTAATGTAAGCACAACGTTTGCGTAACAGTTACTTGTACGAAAATTTCTTTATCAGCCATAAAAATGCTTTACTCTATTTGACTATGGCACTGCGTATTCCTTACTTCAGTATTTTCTATAACTTATACACTGTGCAACCAAAAGAAAATCCGGTTTTAATTATGTGTATATTATCAAGTCGATAGGTGGATAAACTGCGTGGCATTATTGGCGAGGACCAACGGCGGAGACAAGTGAGTGTCACAAAGCGAAAAGCGAGACTGTTAAGTAAATGGTAAGTCTGTTTTGCTGCGAGTCAACGTTCATATCGCTCGCAGGATATGTTAAACATCGAGTAAAATGGTACGAAACGAGCAAAGAAATTGACGGCAAGCATATAAAAAATCCTGCACGCTTTAATATAACGAGTAATTGATAAGAGATTGTTTTTGTGTAGGTGGTTGAATGTCAAAAATGAGCTGACAGTTGAAACAAGAGTGTTTGGAACATTGTTAAAAATATATGTACAGATGTTCTCCAGGGTGGCCCAAAAATACATGCGGGAACAAAAACTTTTAAAATGTTAAGCTCTCACCTCCTAGGATTTTTCTAAATGAAAAAATAATACTCGTATTTTTTTTGGTTAAAAAAAATTATATTTAGAACTGCCTTAAAGCCAATGAAGTTTTCCATGTATGTACTATTTTAAATCGAGCCCTAACCGCCAAAAAGATGTAAGCGACATTTTTTTCAATTTTTTTTTTTATGCAGAAATGCATCTAGATGCTCTAGGAACATTTCTGCATCAAAAAGATTTTGAAAAAAATTACGCTTACATCTTTTTTTCGGTTAAGGCTCGATATGGGGAAAAAATGGTATAGAATTCATGAAAATCAATATTTTTCGATTTGAAAACTCTATTTCTCTTTAGTAGACTTCTAATAACAATACCCAATGTATATAGTCGATTCCATAGAAAAGTAAACCAGTCCGATTTTTTATTTTTTTTTTCAAATATTGTACATATTGTTGGTTATTGGTATTCATAATATTTGTCAGCTGTTTCTAACGCCAAATCATTTCGTGTTAATTATCTTGATCCTTTTGTCGAAAGATTTTTGACGAACCTAAAAATAGTTTTCAATACTGCAACAAGGAAAAGCACAAAAATATAAGCTTTCATTGATTTATTTTGGTTGATAAAGTTCTAGACGATAGAAAATAAATTATGGGTATTCATAGAATCGCATAAATGCCTCGTAACTGCGCAAAACTCGTAAATAAACCAATTTTCCATACAAAATTTAGTAAGTTTACGAGGTTTAGATGGTTCATGGGAAGGAAAGGACTAAGTATTTCCTACGATCTTACCCATTGGCATGGCGAAGTCATCTTAAAAAATGGAACTAGCAGCTTAAGGAAAGAAAGCAACAAACGAGGGCGAGCTCCAATTACTCCTAATGTATCCAGAAGCGTTTAAATTTCCGTTCATGAATGACAATTCCCTAACATCAAAGTATGAAATTCCACCCCAAACAGTATGACTTGGTGAAAACTTGTATCCCGATGTAAGTTAAGAAGACTGGAAATCACGAAGTAAATATGCAAACTGTTGAGCGTAATCAAGAGAATTATTGCATAAAAATACCGATGGCGCTGGCATGGCCAAACAGTACGTATGGATGATGATGCTCCGGTGAAAAGACCTTTTGACTTGCAACCCATTAGTGGGGAATGAAAGTTCGTGCACTCCAAACAGAATGAAACGATGAAGTGCAGAACGAAAATATAGAAGAAAATTGGCGAAGTCTTTAGCTCTCGGCCCAACCGACAAACCTTGGTAGTGCCAAATAAGAGGGAAAAGTTGTTACGTGTTGTCGTTGTTGTAACAGTATAAAGATCCTCAGAGCATTTGAAGAATTTGCTGGAGTGACAGTCCTTGGCCAGATATAGATGTGAGTCGTTCCGGTTATGCAGACCCGACTGCCGTGAAGACGTTCTGTCCCGTGTCTTCTCCATCTCCGTTACAACGTTGTCTTGTTGGTTGTTTATCTGTTGGTCGAGGAACTTTTATTGTTTTTTTTTATCTGCAAACATGCACGTATGTACTTAAAAACGTAATAAATGTAACTTAAAAAAGTTTATTTGAAATTGTAATTAAAAAA